CTGCCTGGAACCCAGGTCCTCTGCAAGAGCAGCCAGGGCTCTTAACCACTCAGCCATCTTTCTAGCCACAGTTTTCTGTAGTTTTAACTCACTGTCTCAAATGCCCTCCCATGTGTCCCTGCTACGTGTCTCATGAGGCAGCTCAGGTATCACCTCTTCCAGAAAGTCCTCTTTAACCTATTTTTTTGGTCTTTTCGAGACAGGGTCTCCCTGTAGCCCCAGCTGTTCTGGATTCCCTATGGAGACCAGGCTGGCCTCGAACTCACAGAGATCTGCCTGCCTCTGCCTCCCAAGTGCTGGGACTAAAGGCGTGCACCACCACGCCCGGCCCGCTTTAATGTTTGCAACTGCACTGGTCGCTTCTGCTTGGCCTGTGCTCTAACAGTTATCCCTCTGTTGCCAATAGTGGGCACAGAGCACCTAGATAACAGCAGTGTTGGCTACATCACCCTGGCAGCATCCAGTGACCTGGCAGAAGCTGACAGCCATGGATGAAGGTGGAACATGACCTCTGACATGCTTGAGGGTACCCACCACTGGGTGCCTCTGTACATAAGTTTTCCATCACCTCTCCTGGAGTATTAGCCCTAATGCCAGCCTTCTCTCTGTGAGCCTCAGTCCTGCCTCCTCCCAGCAGCCTTCTTTAATGTTTGCAACTGCACTGGTCACTTCTGCTTGGCCTGTGCTCTAACAGTTATCCCTCTGTTGCCAATAGTGGACACAGAGCACCTAGGTAACAGCAGTGTTGGCTACGTCACCCTGGCAGCATCCAGCGACCTGGCAGAAGCTGACATGCTTGAGGGTACCCACCACTGGGTGCGTCTGTATATAAGTTTTCCATCACCTCTCCTGGAGTATTAGCCTTAATGCCAGCCTTCTCTCTGTGAGCCTCAGTCCTGCCTCCTCCCAGCAGCCTTCCTGGATTGGCTTCAGAAAGGAAGGGAGTGGACAGAGGGTGAGGCTGGTGTTCATTGGGGCCAGAGTAGGTGGAGCTGCTTCATCTGTGGCAGGCAAAGTGTCCTGCCCAGAGTAGACTGCAGACACCCGGAGTTGAGCATACTCACCAGGGGAAGGAAAGTCAGGAGAGGCCGGACTCTTGGCCGAGCTTTCAACGTGGCTGTTCCCGACTCGCTCACAGTGTCAAATCGACCATCTCCATAGTAGATCCCATCTGTAGACCGAGAGGGGAACTGTGAGCTGGGGATCAAAGAAGGCAACTGCCATCTGCAGATCTCAGTTAGGAAACTAGGCCTTGAGGTTGCCAGCATTGACTCAGCTAAGCCCCTGTAACGGTAAGACCCCACAGATGGGATGTGTGCTAATGGAGACACTGGGGTGGCGTTGTGAGGGACTTGGGGTGGTTATTGGGGTCTCTTCCAGTTCTCCTGGGGCTTTCAGCCACAGCAGCAACCATTCTCCAGACACCCCTCCCATAGCCCTTCACCCCTCCACATACACATACCTCCTGTCCTGAGAGCTGGGCCAAGGCCCAAGCCAAAGCTTATCTCTAACAGAGTGAAGAAAACAAGCCTGCTGTTCTCAAGTGCTTGAATTTCTAATTTGGAACAAGCAGAACCGAAGGGGTCACCTACTGTCCTCTATGGCCAACACCCCATTTTTGTATCCCTCTAGCTCAAGAGCTCCCAAACCACTGCCAGTGTGTCCGTCTTGTTTCAGTGTACCCTTGAGGGCAGAGCACAGAGCTAGCAACAGAAGTAGTGATCCAGAAAAAAAAAAAAATCCCAGCTCTGCCACTGGCTGGCCATATTACTTAACCTCTCTGGGCCTCAGTTTTCCCATCTGTACAATAGGAGGGATAGTCTTATATGATGGCTGTAAAGATTAAGTATGTCCGGTACATAGAGGGACTCAACAAATGTGGTTCCCTCTGTCACAGGAAGATGACACACAAAGCACCCTCCTCTTCCTCTGGGTCCTAGGCCCCTGTTCTAGGCTCTGTCTACAGCAGTAAGAGGGTGTAAAGGGCCGTGTTCATGTTTCCCTCATGACCCTTGATACCCATTGATAAGAATGTCCCATTTCCTCCCAGGCTCACATGGTCACCCTCTAGAGGCAGAGATCACTACAGAGCTCTGGCTTTGTGGGTCATCAGCACAGAAGGTCGTCATCCTATTTAACAGGCCAGAAGGAGGGAGGGACCTTCTTCTCTCTAGCCAGAGAGGAAAGAGGTCAGAGTCTCAATTATAGCCTAGTGTAGTGGTGCATGCCTATAATCCCAGAACTCTGGAGATGGGGGCAGGGGGATCAGGAGCTCAAGGCCAGCCTCAGCTACCTACTGAGTTTGAGGCTAGCCTGGGCTACAAGAGACTCACTTGCAAACCAAACCAAATAAAAGAGCAACAACAAAAGAATCACAATTAAATGCTTGATGTGGTGGCACATGCCTTTAATTCCAGCACTAGGGAGGCAGAAGGACTCACTCGCAAACCAAACCAAACCAAACCAAACCAAATAAAAGAGCAACAACAAAAGAATCACAATTAAGTGCTTGATGTGGTGGCACATGCCTTTAATTCCAGCACTAGGGAGGCAGAAGCAGGCAGATCTCTGTGAATTTGAGGTCAGCCTGGTCTACATAGTGAGTTCCAGGAGTTCTAGGCCAGCTAGGGCTACATAGTGAAACCCTGTCTCAAAAAAAAATCCCAATTAACAAAAATTCTATTACCTGTTACATGAAACCAACTGGGATTTATTTTCTCCTGGAACATTTTAGGAGGAAACTGCAAGAAAGCCAGATAATTTATTCAAAAGAGTCTGGGCTAGGTACGATAGCTCAGAGGGTAAGGGCACTTGTCTTCAAGTCTGATGACCTAGTTCTGTCCCCAGGACCTGCACTGTGAAAGGAGAGAACCGACTCCCATAAGTTGTCTTCTGAGCTTCAGAAGTGCGTGACTGGACATGTGTGCACTCATGTGCATACACATAATAAATAAATAAATAAATAAATAAATAAATAAATAAATGTAATAGGGCCAGGTATAGTGGCACATCCCTTTAATTCCAGTACTTGGGAGGCAGAGGCAAGCAGATCTTTGAATTGAAAGGCAGCTTGGTGAGTTCCAGACCAGCCAGGGTACAGGGAGACCCTGTCACAGAGAGAGACAGAGACAGACTGGGTTAGTCAGAGAGGTTCTGAATGCATCTAGCCCATATTCCTCCACGTACAGCCACAGCCCTCCAGAAGAATCTAGGTTTGGGATGTGCCTGGGGCAGCCAGCAACGAGAGGCAGTGTAGCCTTCGGGTACTGCCCTACCAAGTCAGAGATTTGGCAGAGACATTCAAGACTCCACCTCTCAAACGCTCTCTACTGCCCAAATAACAGATCTCTGTGTCTAGCACCTGTTCTGGGAACCCCAGTTCCCAGTACTGCCCTGCCTGGAACATTCTGAATGAATGTGATTCCCCAATCAGGGTTGCCAGGCTCCACACCCCAGTATGAAGACTGGGATTGGATGAGAGGAGGAAGGGAAGCTGTAAGCATAAGACTTGCCCTAAAGACTTGCCCTACACCTGCATATTACTGCCAGAAGCCACAACATTCTGTAGACCCAGCTGTGAGGATGCCAAGCCTTGCGGCTGAATGAAGGATCTGGCTCTCAACAGGCTAGGATCACCTCAGGTGCTGTGTGAGAGCCAAGCTCCTAGGTAGACCCTTGAATGATCTCATTTTATCTCTGTGTAAGTGTCATGGCCACTGTCCCTTTATGCCTAGGTGCTTTGGAGACTTTACTTCTGTGGGATCTGACAAGGTAAAACTCTAATAGAATAATAAGAGGCAAAATTGGTTGAGTACTTTTAATAGGATGGGCATCTTAAACATTAATTCATTTAATTTTCAAAATAGCCCTATGTTAGCCAGGCATGTTGGCATGTGCATGTAGTCCTAGCACTTGAGACATGGAGGCAGGAAGATGAAGTATCCAAAGCCAGCCTTGACTATACAGCACATTCCAGGCCAGTCTGGGCTATATGAGGGATCCTGCATTAAACAAGAGAGAGAAAACACACAAACAGAAAACTCAAAACAAAACAACAAACTGGGGCTGGAGAGACAGTTCAGTGGTTAAGAACATTTGTTGCTCAAAAAGAAAAAAAGAAAAAAAAAAACAAAACACTTGCTGTTCTTTCAGAGGACCAGAATTCAAATTCCAGCACCCACATCAAGCGACTATAACTCTGGTTCCAGGGGATCCATATACATGTTGCACATACACCCATATACACAAAAATTAATAATAAGATAAAACTTTAAACAACAAACCCAGCCCAATGCAAATTGCTTTACAGATGAGGAAACTGAGGCACAAGGAAACCAGTAAGGTCTTGCCCAAAGACCCTCACTGAAGCCAGGGTCTCCCTGAAGGGCCTGGCCACTGAGGGCCTGCGCCCAAAGTGAACTCACAATCCTACCATTTACAGGCCTGGATGGTAGGATGGGGTGAGGGGGCAGGGGTGCTGCTAGGCTGGGCTGTGGTCAAAGAACAGCTCTAGGATACAGCGGAAGAGGAAGCAGATTGCTCAAACCCACATATGGGTCAGGACAGAGCTAGCTCCAAACTGTACCTATCTTACCCCTACGTGGACCTAAGTGTGTGGGCGATCTGTCCTAAGCACCTCACGGAGTCCATGACTCAGCGCTGATTACCGGGGACTGTTGATTTGATTACTCTGCTGCAGCTTGGAGCAGAGGATTCCTTTCTACAGATACAAATGTTCCATGCAGAGCCAGGTGTAGTGACTCACCCCTCTAATACTAGCAACTTGTGAGACTGACGCAGGAGGACTGCTGTGAGCTTGAGGCCAGCCTAGGCTACATAGTGAGCCCTAGGGTAGCTGGGGCTACAGTGTGAGACTGTCTCAAAAAAAAAAAATTGGGCTTAGGTGTTGGTGGTGCATGCCTTTAGTCCCAGCACTTGGGAGGCAGAAGCAGGTGGATCTTTGTGAGTTCAAGGCCAGCCTGATCTACAGAGTGAGTTCCAGGCCAGCTAGGGCTTCACAGTGAGATCCTGTCTCAAAAAATGAGGCTGGAGAGCTGGCTCAGCAGTTAAGAGCACTGAATGCTCTCACAGAGGACCCAGATTCATTTCCCAGCACCCACATAGTGGCTAACAACTGTCTATAACTCCAGTGCCAGGAGATCTGACACCCTCTTCTGGCCTCCACAGGCACTGCATGCACATGGTGCATTTACATACATGCAGGCAGTACATTCATACACATAAAATAAAAAATAAATCTTTAAAAATAAAAAAAAAAAAGATGGTAGAACAGGCCTGTAATCCCAGGACTCAAGAGGCAGTAGCAGGAATATCACAAGTTCAAGGCTAGCCCAGTCTAAGTACTGAGTTCTAGGCCAGCTAAGGTTACACAACAAAATCCTGTTTCAAAAAAAATCAAAACCCAAGGATTCGTGGCTCAGTCAGTAAAGGGCTTGCTGTATGAACATGAGGACCTGAGTTTGGTCCCCAGGACCCATGTTAAAAAGCTGGATGATGGGTTGGAGATATGGCTCTGTGGTTAAGGGCACTGACTGCTCTTGCAGAGGGCCCGTGTTGGATTTCCAGCACCCATATGGTGGCTACAAACCGTCCTTAACTCCAGTTCCAGGGGAATCCGAAGCCCTCTTCGGATCTCCGCGGCATTGCACGACATGGGTGCACTACATACACGCAGGCAATACACTCATACACATAAAATAAAAATAATAAATTAGAAAAAAAAAAAAAGCTAGGTGAGGGAGCATGTGCTGGGGCGGCCGAGACAGAGGATCTCTGGGACTTGCTGGCTGGCCAACCTAGAGGAAGGAACTGTTGAACCCCAGGCCAGTGCAAGACTCTGACTCAAAAAAAGAAAAACGGTGGAGGGCTAGAGAGATGGCTCAGTGGTTAAGGGCACAGATTGCTTTAGAGGACCTGGATTCCGTTCCCAGCACCCACATGGCAGTTAACAACCATTCAGTCCCAGGGAATCCAGAGGCCTCTTCTGAACTCTATGGACATGCACAGGTGGAGTTACACACATGCACGCAAAATGCTCATACACATAAAATAAAAATTATTTTTTTTCCTTTTTTTTTTTTTTTTTTTGGTCTTTTTGAGACAAGATCTCCCTGTAGCCCCACCCAGTTGGTCTGGCACTCACTATGTAGA